GCAGGTGGTGGAACAGTCTCTACACGGTTTATTTAATTCACTTAATCCCGAGCACACATCTTCATCAGCATAGACGCCGTTTGATTTGGTTTAAGGGACCTCTAGCTGTGAAATATTTACATCCTTTTAAGGATCCTTTGTTCAGCTCACACTTTAAACACTCGCACTTCTCAAGTCACTCGTCAGACGATGCCATTGCACCTGAAGCCCTGAAAAGTTGGCCGAGGGGTTCTGAGATTGGCTCTGCGCTATTTGACTGAATGTGAAATAAACAGGGTTTTCTGCTGGAACGTGAATGCAAACAACGTCCTGAAGCTATTTATGTATTGCACTGTATTTGTGGTATCCTTCATAGCACTCTCAAACATCCAAAAAAACAAACAAACATGCAGCCAATAAATGAAAAGAGAGAGTAAAAGAAGTAGGGCACAGCACAAGCTAATGTTCAGTTATGTTGATGATATTCCATTAATTAATAAAGCATCTTTGTGTTGACATTTTCAATAAGGTGTTGGCTAAAAGAAATCCGAGTAAAGACGAAGGCAACACTGGATCAAATCAGAGCGTGCCAGAGAGGACGATGTGGGAGAGATATGATGCAAGAAGGGGAAGAAATGGGGGAGGTCTGAAGGGGGGAGGGGGTTGAGGGACCGCGGTGAGACTCCAGTGATGTGTTGGAGAGCAGATGAAGAGCTGGAGCTGAGTGTTGCAGAATGGCCTGCAGCTCTGTTTCAGGCTGTGTGTACAAACCAGCGAGAAGCTTTTAAATTCATTATGAGCAGTTGATGGGTGAGGGTGAGGGTGAGGGTGAGGGGTAGGAGGGGGGTCCCAGGCGGCCAGACTGGATGGAAATGCAGAAGACCACACAAATAACATAGATCTCTGATTTCTAGGAGTAGTTAAAACTTTTTATTGCGAAGAAAAAAACTAGAACCAGGTGGTATTTCTGTCCTGAGGGCAATAAGTAATGTAGAGAAAAACATGTACAGTCTTGGAAAAAATGAACTCAGATGTTTTCAGAAAGTCATGGCCTGGATGTTTAAAGTGTTTTGATTGGATAACTTCTGTATGTTTGGATTAGTCAAACTTTAAAACTACGTGGCTCAAAATAGAAAGAAGAATTCATGGGTTTAATCGCATTCTGGGTTTGATATGAACCAAACGTTCTTGTTATTTAAAACTATATAAGTATCAGGACAACTACGTTTTCAAAATGTCCATTATTCTGTTCTCAGCAGAATGTGGATACATGATTTCACAAGCTAAACTCTCAATTGGTCAAAGCATTTAAATAGCTCCTAATTGCTATCGCTAAAGCTAAGCTAGCACATTGAGTCATCTTGTCTTTCTGTCTTTGTGTCTACAGTATTTCAATCTGAAACATATTGTTATATGATGATGGATAAGAACAAGGAGTGCATCTGGTGTTGTATTTTTTATGAAGCAATAAATCAAGACATGGAACAAGTTGAGATATGCACATTAAATTTTGAACACGCGTGATGTAACAAGAGAGGCAGCTTGATTTATGGAATATTGTGTATTTATAAACCCTTCCTGTAACTACTTCATAGACTTTGTTTAAGTCAACTATATTTTATTCAGATCTTATCAGAGGACTTTTATAGTAAAGTCAGTCTTCTTGTGTGGAATGAAAATGTTCATAAAACTTTCATGAAGATAAGATACACCAAGAGCTTTGTCTTTTGGATGACACAGTATCCTTTGTATGACTTCTCTCCTGGATTTGCCTGAAGCAGGAACGTGAAGGTCTAAATTGAAATAGTCAAAAATGTGCCAAAACTGCAGTTCCCCGAGTGGCCACTGGAGGCTGGCTACCAAAAGGAGTCAATCCCTATTGGGCCCCAGCTTAATACAACTTTCTTTCTGTCTGGAAAAATAGTATGGGGTTCAATTTATTTATTTTATTTTTTATAAAAGGCACTTTAATGCTGTACATAAAAGACCCCTATGGAGTCTAGACCCTGGTGGTGGTGGTGGTGGTGATAGAATAATTCAGGATGTGATGAGGAGTGGGTTTCAGAGGCTGTATCTGAACTCTGCTGAGCCGGAATAAAGGTGACCGGGGCGGAGGAGGGTCAGGATAATTGGTTGAGAGAGGTTGTGGCAGAGTCAGGTTTGATTATTACTAAAAGAGTAAACGCCTCAAATCAACCGATCACCAGAGGAGGGAGAGGGAGGAAGTTGGTAGAGAGGGAGAGGCTAAGTTGAATGAAGAAACTGAATAAATGTGTGAGAGAATATAACCAGTCTTCCTGCTTGAACTTACGCTGAGCTCCATGAGCTGCATGTGTGAACGCAGCAGGAAATATTCGTGAAAATGAACTGAGAGCGAGTGTCTACAGAATGTGTGCAAACAGTCTTGTTTGGTCATTCAGTGAGATGTTATATTTAGATCTATTTAGATTTATTCATAGTGGTCGGTGCCTGAGATCCAGGATTGATACCCCGCCCCTCTTCTACATGCGTCTTAAGGATGGAAAACTACTGCTGCACAGCTTCGTGTGAGGTGCAGCCTCGAGTTGCGTCACATCTTAGACCACACCTTCTTCTCTGACGTCCAGGAAGTATTTTTGATCAGCAAACATCATTCTCTTTGATCCGTGGGCTGGGTGTGTTTAATTAACCCCCCACTCACTCCGGTACGGCGCACTGAATCAAATGTGTTGTGTGATAATTACAGCATGAAAAAGATGAACTAAAAACAAAAAAAATACTACAGACCGCATGGTACATGGTTTTTTTTTCAGAATGTAAAACAATACATAGATTTTAAAACTATATTGAATAGAATGAAACAACAAAAATGTAAATGACAGTTAAGAAAAACACACATCATTTTCAAAGTCTGTGTCCTGTACCATCCTCGCAGCCTTGACTGTTTTCTTCACCTTCTTCACCTCTCCACCAGAGGCCCTCAGAACTTACCTCCTAACACACCTGTTAGCAGTTCTAATCAATCCTGGTTTTGCTGACCTTAAACGCGCACCTGTCTCCACTTCCCTCAGTATCCTAACTCAATATCTATCACACTATTTCCTTTGTTTTTATTGCCAGCTTATCCTCATTGCCATGTGCTCTTTTCTTATAAGTAAGTAAAGAGGTACCAACAGGTAATCATTCAACCACTTTCTGCCTTACATTAGAAATAGCAGGGAAAGTGTTATCCTCTAACAAAACTGTAAGGTGAGCCAGGAAGTAAAAAATAAGTAATTTTTCCTCCTTATATAGTAGTTTCAAAGTTGATCCAATAGCACAAAACTTTCAACAAGGGAGGATGTCTCTCATGTCCACAGAGCACCCCACTAGCTTGTTTTCGGCACTATGTAACTTTAGCAGTTGTTTCCGGTTCTCTCACAAGAGGTTGGCCACAAAATCACTGTGATTGGCTGCTGATTTATTCTTGCACCCATTAGGTTGCTGGCGCCCCAGCCATAGACAGACAAGTTAGTTGAGGAAAGGCATGTGTGGTGTAAGAGCGTGAGATTTGCGCCATGACTCACTTACTTTCAGCTTTTTTTTTTTTTCAAGATCTGAACTTATTTTTCTTGTTATCTCCGGACAGCAAAGCTAGTTTGGTTGGAGTAAATAAAACGTATCGATGCTTGTCCACTTCGGGCTTCCGTAAACCACAGCATGGTAAAGCAGAATATGCTGTAAGGTTTGGTTACGTGATTAACATGTCAAACATGGTGACCTATAAGCATCATTTAATGACATAGCATTGTGTATCCACCCCTTTTAAAAAAATATTTGTGTCACTTATATATACATTCATGCTGTTCCATGAATGTGCCATCATTACAATGTAGCATAGAAATGAACTATTTAAATATTCATTATTTTCAGTTAAATTGAATTTGTTTTTCAGTGGTTGTATCAATTTAATCTTTTGCTGTTGTTGTTTTCTGCGATTCAAATGATGGGAGTTCTTCTTCTCAAGCTAAATGCAGTAGCGCCTTTCATCAAAGTGAAATATGGAACCGCAAACTATTTCCCCCTCCGGTGAATGCTGTAGTGATACTTTCTGCCCCACCTGCTGTCTCCGTCTGTCAGAAAAACATGCAGCAAAACATGTAGGAACACATGCAAACTCCTTCAACCTGACATGTACTTAGCTCGTTTGTTTGAACAATATTGTTGGTCTAAGGTCTGCGGTTTAGTCCTTTGTGATTTCTTTGCTTAAAACATTGATCCATGACTTCATGACGTCATCAAACTTTTGCTTATTTCCTTGTGAAGTCATGATTACACATCAGATGAGTTAGAAACCCTCAATCATCTCATCAAGTTTCAGTGAGTCAACATTTGGGAGAGTGGGTTTCACTGCACTCTTTCACAGGCAAATTGCTCTCAGCTACTGCTGCCCACTCTGGCCCTGCAAGCCGCAACAAATCCCGGTAATCCTTCAGAAACACATGAAAGAGGCTGTTAGCTTGAGGACTGTTCCCCCCCGCTTTAAGGACTGTTGTTTAGGTCGAAGAGATTGACATTTTAAATGGTCACTTATGTTCACAGAGTTGTGTCAAATGTCAACCAGAGTAGTCATCCTGGAGTCCTAATAACATAATAACATGCATCTTTTCGTAAGATTGGTGAGTCTAAATAAGTACCTGAAGAAATGTTAAGAATTTACCACGATATTAAACATAATTGAAGTGTCATGACTTGACTACGGAAGCCCTAAGCGGACAAACATCCATACATTTTATTATACCCCTGTGATAACGAGCTGTTTTCTTGACATATTTGACTTATTTATGTCGTTTGAATTGCCCCCAGGGGACAAATAAAGTTTTTTTTTAATTGAATTAAATTGTTATCTCACGATGAGAATGCATCTTTTCATGTGGTGACAAGTTAATATCTGAAATCTAAAGAAAACGGCTGAAATGTTTTCATTAAGACAGAACTGAAAAACAGAGTAAGATCAACTGTATAGAAATGACTTAAAAAGGCTTCGTTTGCTGGATATAGAAGTTTATTTTATCTCTTAGTTTGGTAAACATTGATACAAAAACACAACATATGATGTGGACAACCAAATCCCATCTCCAGTGTAAATGATCATGCATTCAAAAATAATATAGTTGATCATAACTTGCTCAACAACAAAAACTGCAAAAAGCCAGCTGAAACAGAGTCATCATGTGTGTTTGCATGTTTGTGATGCATGTCAGCGTTAGCTTTGAACTCTTGAGAAATATGAGGGCATGACAGCCCGGGGATATTTGAAGGTTAGGAGTAATCAAACACCAGTTCCTAGCTTATTTGGTAGTGTCTTAATGATAAACAGTCATCTTGCAGAGGAAAAAAAAATATTCCTCCATGCAAGAATCACATTTTTTGTCGTGTATGTGCACTATAGCGAGAACACAAAGATTAAAAGCTGTCTCACATCTCTTTTGTCATTGGTAATCTATAAACCCTTTGTGATATCTCATATCTCAAATATCTCTAATCTCAACACATGTTGAAAAGCCTCATTATGGCACACACAGAAAGTTTAAACTGAATTTCTCTGTCAACAGAACAATAACAGAAACTTAAATGACAAACAGGCTTAACTGAAAAACAATAACTGAAACCGTGTTATGTGTTTACAAAACAAACTATAATGAATTAAAATTGTAGAGAAAATGACCTTAGCTTCTATCTTTGATCCACTCATGCTGAGTCACATATAATCTATCATTATGATTAGTCTCAGGCATGTCATTATCTAGGTATTGCACAAGTTAAAACTTTTTCCCCCTTAAACAATATTTAACAGAGTATTTTAAAAAAGGTGCTTAAGATTCATGATACAGAGACTAAAAAACTAAAACGAAACAAAAACGAAACAAAAACGAAGCCTTTTCACAAACTAAAAACAAAACTAACCAACCAGCATTAAAAACTTGATTAAACTCAAATGAAACTGAAAACGAAAAGCCAAAAAATAATAAAACTAAAAAGTCATTTTGTAACCTTGCTCCCTGTAGTCCTGGGTGTGTTTCTAAAACAGGTCTGTAAACAGGTCAAACACAGCCCGTTACACAAGACTCCACAGAGTGAAGTTGACTTTTTTTTTTTTTAGATGAATCCAAAACTTGTCAATACATGAAAAGGCGACATATAAACAGAACTAAGACATGCACAGAATAGGATCAAAACGTAGTCTTTACTCCCCATCACCACACAATGCTGAACAAACATTTGAATGTCCTCAGGTACCAACGTCTTTAAAGAGATCCAACATCCTATGACTCTGACAGGGGCTTATGGAAAAGTGTTTTGTCTGTATTTGGGTCCACATTTATAAAACCAAACTGGACTCCTAACACTTCCATAAATGACCCTACAGTTTCTAATACATACATAAACTACTGTCATAGGGTTTCACATTGACATCTCCACAGACACACTGACTGAGGACGACTTGTTACTGTAATGTAACAAACAATGGAAGTTTCACAGAAACCACCTAATGAGCACCTGATGTTTCTGTGCAGGCTTTAAAGAAAGTGTCTGATTGCAAGTCAGACATTTCCACCACACACAGAACCTCAGATGCATTACATAAACGGCTTGGAACGTCAAGAGAACAGATACTCAGTTAACTATGGTCTCTGTCTCGGACAAACTGAAGCCTAAACCAACTCAGAACATTACTGTCGGGGTCCGGGAAGCCCTGCCGGGCGGACGTGCCACCAGGGTCAGAAAAACCTGGGCTGCATCGTCTGACTCCCCTGAGAAAGAGAGAGAACAATGAGTTAGTGATCGAAGTCTGTATGAAAAGTAGAAAGAGTGTCTTTAAGTGCTCCTTTTATATGAGATACATATTACGCTACAAATGAACAATATCTGAGTTTAAGTTATTGGAACTGTAAGTCAAGCTTGTTCCATTAGAACAGAAACAGATTCATCCCGTCCCTATTATTTGAATCCGGGTTCAATGCTTACGGAGACTTCTCGATTAACCCTCAGGCATCAGTTTAATTTACGACCCTCTTTAGTCACTAAGGACAAAAATGTCCATGCCAAAAAAACTGCTATAAAAATAGAACACATTGATATTTTTTTCTACTTTTTTCTGCATACATCTCTTAAACAACTTCAGCCCTGCTCAAAACTACCAAACATTCAATCATTTTTAGGAATTTAACCCTTTAAATGCCAGTTTGATTACATGATTCTGGCATTTAAAGGGTTAAATTCCTGATAATTATTCAATATTTGGTAGTAGAAAAAAATGTCCATAGTGATGCAAGAGGGTTAAAGTGAGATGCGTTTCTAGCCTCACTGGAACATTTTCATGCTGTTGACACATCAGTAAACACTCTTTGTGGAGCGATTACTGACAGAAATATAACTTTAGCCTGAAGGAGTGTCAGAGGAAAGACTTTCTGAGTGCGTTGACATTCTTGTTGACGTAAAAATCATCTTTTAAATTCCGACCTTTGCGACGGGATTATTGATTTCTCATGCTGTGGTGAAGATGAAAATGCCTGTCTTACTGTGCAGCCCTACATCAGAGTCACATGTGATATATTGAATGATACCTCTAAAATCAGGAAGGTAGGAAGGGACTTGTAGAAATTGATCAAGTTTACAACAGCTAATAGACGCTTCTGTGTGTCATGAGAGAGGAACATACAGATTTGCCCCTGAGCTGTGGAAGAGTCTTCAACATGTTTACCATGTTTCCAGGGAATAGCAAAGTCTGAAATAATAACAATACCTTTGAAACTATTTCTTTGTCATTGTTGGGCCGAGTTAGCAACACATTAATGATCAAACAAAGGTTTTGATTTCATAGGGTCTTTAAAGTCAGACTCAGCTTACACTAGCACGGCTTATGTCAACACATTTATCCTCTTATTTAAGCAAATATTAAATTCATCTGTAAGTTTATTTAAGGCTTGATGGAACTGCGTCTTCATGTTTTAATGGGCTGGTATTAGGAGAACAAACTCAGGGCTGGTACTGGGGGGGTAGTCTATTGGTTCAGTCCCACTTTAGGGGTTGGAAACGAGAAGATAACCCTCCTGTTGTGTAACATGGTGTGGACTCTGGTCTGCTCTGTGTTCCACTGGAGGACACATTTCCGACCCTTTAGACAAAGTGCTAGCTGACTCGTGTTGACAGCCAGAACACCTAAAGATAGACGCATCAAAGCAAAGCAAAGGTGAGTGACATGACTCTGAAGTTAAACCTTTTGAGTCCACTCATCTTCATTTTGCAGAGCTGACGGCACAAATTGCTCCGTGTGACACTTGAAAAGCATACCAGCATTCTTTACAGTAGCCTAGTCTGTTCCAAAATGAGCACATAGGGAACAGGGAGGGTTTAGACCTACAGGTTCTTAAACACACCAGGAACATGTTTGTTTACTCAGATCTCAGTTAACATTGACTTGTGATGTGTTCAGGATCTTTAAGGTGTGGGATGAAGCCAACAAGCTAAACTGCAAACAAGGGACTTAACGTCTTTGACACTGTTTGAATGTCACCGGGCAGCGAGTGTTACTGCACAAAAACCTCATTTTGAAGCATTAACATGTTGTCATACCATGGTATGAAGGTAGCTGCCCATCTGCAGCAGACACTCCAGGGTCTCCATCATCTGCTCCTGGTGCAGCGTGTGCAGTGTGGAGTAGTTGGGAGATGAACTGGTTTCCAGCTCACACACTGCGGTTTTCAGAGCGACTGAAGCACACTGCAGGACACTCATCCCTGGAGACACACACAGACATGTCAAGGTTAAGTCAGAGTATCTAGTAGTACCTAAGAAAGTACATTTGCTGTGCAGACGGAAGATTAAGGATTACAAATGTATTTATAAGGACAGCTTGACCAAACTACGAGATGATGACTGATTCGAAAATTAACCAAACTGAATTAGACAACAGAGAAACAACCATACAAACAAACAGTACTACAGCTTTTTACCTAATTCTGGGGGATTTTTTTTCTCTCACAACAGACAGAAGCTGGAGGTCATTTAGTAGAGACACCCCGGTTTCCTTTAACGCTCTAAATATGCAAATCACTTTGTTGCTTTTAGAGAATTTTGCAAAGCTTGTTTTTTTTGTTAGTGTGAGGGGAGAGTACAGTTTTCTCTCCTTAAATATATTCCATTATTTATGCAGATAAAATGCTAATTTACCTCGAAAATGTAACTGAAAGCAAACTGCGATCTAAAGGAGACTCTTCTAGGTCAGCAGTGATATGAGGTTTCTGCCAGCAGAGCTCCTGTATTCAGTCATCTAATTGTTATACTTTGGCTTTCCTGCAGCCATTCTTTTCATTAAAATAACTCATTCTAATTCCTGCATTTTGGCCTCTATAATTCTGTTCATTTAAGAGATTTGAAACATCACAGTACTCACTTGAGTTATCGGTGGCTTCAACGTCGACAAACACACCGTCCATCATTGTTTGTTTCAGAACCTTTAGAAAACAGAACAAACACAAGTTCACAAACATACTGCAACACGATTGAAGAAGCAACATCTGTTCCTCTCATCTGCACATTCAGCTTACACCAACACACAGAGAGATTGGTAAGCTCAAAAGGGGAGTCAATTCCCTTTTGGCCCCATAGTGCAAATCTGAACATTACAGCAGAAGTGTTTACAGCCTGGAACAAACAAACTGCTTTGGTTTTTATAGCTCATTTTGTAATTCATGATAACTGTGCAGGAGCCACATTTTTTCCACGTCTCATCTTTCAGATATCTGAGCGTTAAAGTTATGCATAACTAGGGTGGAGGTTGCTTTGATTGACAGGTAGGTGCTGCTAGCTGTACGTTGCTGGTGTTGAGAGAGTAAGTTTGTAGATTGAAATCATTAAAATGACAGGTGTCGGTGCTTGTTTCCACTGTATTGATGTAGCTTGTTTGCTTATTCAGTCTTTGAACTCCTTTCAGCGACCATAAATAGAAACTCATTCCGTGGGAAACAGGTTGGTTGGAAACATTTAAATACTAAAACGTTGCCAATGTGATGCCAATTTTGTGGTGTGCAGGCGTTGGCCTGCAATCTTTGAAAACAATGAATTACCCATCGTTTGTTGTACAGGTCTTGTACTTTTGTTGCCGTGGTATCCACACAGGTATCAATATTGTTTTTACTAGAGTCCTATCAAGGTGTTTAAATCTGGTGTTGTGATGTTGTACGAGGACAGAAGACACAGGTAGGTGGGGAGTGGCAGTCTCTCCTCTCCAACACTTTAATGTCGATAACTGGAAACATTGTGAACTGTGCCACCTGAGTCTATACAACAACAACATACCCTGCTCTCTGCTATAATTTAAAGAACACGTACATGAATGCTGTGTACCATTTTATAAACTCAACATCTCGTGAGGTTGCACACAATTTTAATTGAGTCACACCCGCTTCATTTGGCACGCTGAATAATGCTTTTGCAATGAATGGAATTCAAAAGCACACATACCTGCTGCCTTCAGACTCTCTGTCTGTGCTCTGACTTTACTCTCCAATGTGTGAACTGGATGAGCCATGATTCAACTACAGTCTATTAAAGTACTGGAACAAATAAGTCAAATAACCTTAAAAGACCCAGTGCTGACTTTGAGGCAGGAGATATTTGACATTTTCATTTAAAGGGAGTAAAACATATGTTGAAATGTTTCTATGAAGATCTGTAAAATATGAGATAAAGGGGAATAGGAGTCATTAACTATAATATCTGAAAAAGTAACAATATTGTGTCCTAAAGAAAGATACTAATTATTGCTCAGGTTTAGCTTAAAAAAGCACAAAAAGCTATATTAAAAAAACAAAGTAATTTTAGAAAAATAAACAACATATCTGTTTACGAAGCATGAATGACTTTTTTTTGCGCTTTTGATAAATGCTAATTTTTGTGAGTTTATTTTCTAATAGAACATGACAACTGCAAAAAATAATCAGAAAATGATGTTTCATCTTCTTGATTCCACTCTTTGTAGTTGATCTTGTTCTTTTGCATCACTTTCTCTCGAAGGCCATCGACCACACCTCTTTTTCTTGCATCGCAGCCTTTGGAGGAATCTAATCGTAGGTACGCTAGGTTGTTGAGTTCTCAGAGCGACGGCCCTATGTACAGAGGCTACAGTCCTCGCCACAGCATACCCAAGATGTGATTCATCTGCTATTCGCTGTATGTCACCCAACCCCCTCTCTTCCCTGTTTATCCCGTCTGTTATATGAAATAAAGCCAAAGGAAAATAGAATAAGAAACGTGTACGATAAGGTTAACTGCACAAAGTGGCCTATAAAAAGTTCAAAGGCAGATGGTGTAAAAAATGTGAAGAGCTGAATTAAAGTGCACTGCTCGATTAGCCTTTAACGTCCTCATACTGTGCTTCCACTCCACTGTGACACATGGAGAGCTGCAAAAACACACATGTGCCAAGAAACCCCGCTGTGCCCTCACTGCTTCAGCCTTTCTAAGAAAACAGAGTCTGTGTGTGTTTTGACTGCCGCTCGTTTCTCCTCAAACTCCAAAAAAACATCTCAGACGCGTCAAACATCTGCTGCATGTGCTCAAGCTGGGCTATAAAAGTGAACTCAGAAAATTTGGAAGCATAATAACAGGTTGCACAAGTTACTATTCAGCCTAACCTGTGAAAACTTGAACCACTACAAGTTCATGTCCTACAAAACGATGGAGCGTCAGAACCCTGATGAAGGTACAAAATGTTCTGTAATGATCCTCTTTGTTTGTCTCTGTATGAGTCACTCATCAGGCAATCATGAAACAAGGTGAAACACATGACGCTGGGGAAACTGTGCACATTCACATGACAGCGAATAACCACAACATGACACTCAGTGTGTTTACAAACCGGCTGTGGTGGTTTTTTTTCAGAATGTATAATCCGGTTGGTTTGAACATTTAATTAGTAACTCCAACAAAGATAAACGCTTGCTGCCATGAGAACCAATAAACATGCACCTGAATAACCTGTTGGATCTAAGCAAACTCTATCTGTAGGAGCAGATACCTTGTGACAAATGGTTTTTATTTTGGATAATTTAGCTGCAGAAAAACAAAAAAAAAGCAAAAGCAAACTGGTTGTACCGGACGCCTGCGTTTCCTGTCATGTATAACTTATATTTGTCTTTTGAAAATATTTGACATTCTCGTCACCATTCCTTTTTGACTGCACACAGCAGCTTGCCCCGCCTCCTTTTACTGTTGATTTGTTGTTTTCTACCTTCCTGCCTCTGCTTTTTAAAATGTTCTCCTTCACTGGTATGTTTTTTGTACATACTGGAAAAATACCATGGCGTCCATTACACCTCATGTGACATGTAATGACAACTTAGAGAAACCCCTTTTTGTAGCTTTAGAGGAAGAAAAAAAATCATCTCTAACCTCCAGGACTCTGATGTAGCCTTTCTCAGCGCTGAGGTGGAGGCACGACTTCCCTGAGTTGTTGGTCACGTTGACGTTGGCCCCCAACCGGATCAGATCTGCCACCATCAGGTGGTGGTTGTGCTTGGCTGCGTGGAGCAGGGCAGTCTGCGAACAGTCAAGTTAACATCAATCAATGGGGTTGTCCAATAGTGAGGGATCATGCAAAATTAAAAAAACACGACTTTGAAGACTCTGCAGAGTGAATTTGTTTTCTTAAATCTGCATCCTTCTGACACTTAGACACTTAATATTTCATGATATGTGTGACTGAACACATGCTGGAAACTAGTGGAGTTTCCAAATAAGATCGAAGAGATTAAAATCAACTGCTTAGAAGTTCAAATAAACCTACAATAACTGTTCAGTAGAAAACTTTGGCTTGCATTGATTTCAGGTGTAAACCTTTTTCCAGAAAGTTTCCCCGCCAATCACACTGAGACTTCAAACCATTGCACAAAATAAAACTTAATCGCACATATAATAAGATAAGATCAAAGAAGCAAACATTCATGGAATGGCAGACTGTGATTCTGAACTGCAGTGATTGGTCCCTCGTCTGTATTTGATCTACTTTATTTGAATATTATAATCACATGATAAGAATAACATTATCTTTAGTCTTCAATTAATCTAAAAAATAAACTATACAGAACGAGTGATCATGTCAGTATTATACATCAGCCGACAACATTCCTTTGAATCCCACAGGTAATAATCACAGAATCTGTAGATGAAATGAAAACTGAAAATGTGGATATTTACCATTCCTTCAGAGTCTTTGAGGTCCAGGCTGTTGAGTGTGGCCATCCTTTTGGCGATGGCGTATCCCAGCGCCCTCTTTCCAACACATGCAACTTTGTGGAGAGCTCTGGAGGAACAAGAACAACCCGATGTTTTCAGACAATCTCATGAGAGGCTAACATGTCTACACCTGTGTGTTTTTTATGTGTATTTCACAAACTGAGAGTGGGACTTTGCTGTAAGAGGCCTGCAGGCTCTTAAGAAAACACATAAATAACGGGGTATTTAACAACATTAACGATTTCTGTTCTTTGCAAGAGTCCCATACAGCAATGACAGTGTTACAATACTGTGCTGCCTACTTGAGGAGACAGCTTGAGGCAGTTGAGAACATTTTATCATCCAAATTATTCCTACAAAACATGAATCAACATATGATTGAGACATATGATGAAACTGTTGGCTCTCCTGTTGCATTGTGGGTCATGTAGCTGCTTGGTAAGAAAAATGTGGGAAACATTTATTTATTTTGCTGCGTCAGCTTTTTTTAAAATTACTTGTACATTGTAATCTGTATGAAATTTGCAATCCTACATTTGTATAGTACTCTACAAAGTCAAAGTACATACAAATAATCACAAATCAAAGTTATTGAGACTCATGATCTCCATGCCAAAGTTGAAAAATTGCTCTGATTTGAAGCTAGAAGCAGCTAATGCATCCTCAAGCTGGCTGAAGGAGTGGAGTGGAGAGGTCTGTAAAGCTCCCTCTGGAGAAACTCTTTGAGGAGTAAATCAATAGAGCTTCTCTTCAATGGGGGGGTATTCAAACATATAGCGTGATTTTTGCACCAGACTTACGTCCTGCCCTGGTCGTCGGTGGACAGCAGCACAGAGTCAGCGATGTGTCTCAGCGCGCTCTCCTCTTTCTGCAGCTGGGTGAAGAAGAAAGCGGAGCTGTCCCGATTCTGGTTCAGGGAATCAAACCAGTCCTCCCCCTGTCCCCTGTCTCTCCCACTGTGACAGTAGCTGGTAGGCTGGAGGCCGGTGTGCATGAAGGCTGGAGGAGACAGGGCCTGCTGGTAGTCTACTGAGCAGGGAGAGTAGCTCATGTAGGACTGGGGGCTCGGGATCATTTCATCAGACTCGTCACTGTTATATCCAGCACCTTAGTGAGAACATTTCAAAATGTGAGGAGAGGTAATTTATCAAGCTTATCTTTTCATAGAGGTGGGAAGAAACACAGCACAAATACTTTGTAATGTACTGATTAGGAGTGCAATGGATCAGTTTATCTATTCAGATCACACCCCACGGTCTGGATGGCATATGATCCGCTGATGAAAAATATATCATCATGGTGTAAATGAGTCTAATGATTCTCAATACATCGGCTAGCAATTAAAGTCTTATAGACTGCAGTACAGTTTATTTTTTTCTAAATCGGGTTGACCTGTAATTGATCATCTATATAAATTATCTGTTTTTTTGTTTTTTTTTAATTTTTATTATATATACTTATACTTTTTTAAATGTATTTATTCATGACCTTTATTTTCTTGAGATGTTTTTTTTTTGTCTTCAATCTGTTTTAAATGTCTGTTGCTTTCAATGCACATAATGTTCCTCTGCATAAAAATTCACAAGTGCAATTAATGTTACTATTATGCTTGCAGAAAATCTCAATAAAAAAATAAAATAAAATAAAATAAAATACATCGGCTAAATACAGGGAGACTAATCAGTCTTCATGAAAGTTCTTTCGGGAACATGTCGTAAAGTGTTGATATTTCATTGTATATGGGTACTTTGTTTTAAACGCTGCTTCTGCTTTTCTCTGTTTAATCTAAGTGTGTCTGCAGTTATCATGCAGGTATCAGCTGGTGTCTGTGTATAACACCAGTCAGAAACTTAACATTCATAAAGATACAGCCTGTTGTAGTCTGTCTCTATATAAATGTGGATGTGATCAGCTTGATTTACCGGTTGGAGACCACTCGGGGGACCCGGCAGAGAAGGGTGAGGACAGAGTCGTGGGAGTGGAGCAGTAGTTGTTTCCAGTCCTGAGGTCCTCTTCCAGAACCTCCACTATAATTGCCAACTCCTCCAGGCTCTTTGTGGGGCGTTTCCTCTGAAAGCCAAAGACAGCCGCAGCGTGCAGAGTTATTTGAAAGCTGCTCATAACTGACATGTGATTTACAGAGTTTTCCTGAAGCTACAAAGAGCTCGTTAAACCCTCTGAAAGGACCCAGGGTCATTTTTTGAGAAACTCACCTTGGTGGTTCGGCGTCCTGCGCGTGTTTGGACTCGTTTCTTTTCTCCTGTGGTAGACAATGTCAAGTTTAAGTTTCAGAGTACTTAACAGCATGTTTGCACTCAATGTAGAAGCAGGCTGACTGCATGCTGGTGTGCTGCAGGTTTTTAATCCTTCATGACGCTTCTTAAGCAGCAAAGGTTCTGTTTCTGCACCGAATTCTGTCTGTCCAATTGGAACAAGATATTCAATATGAAGCTTTCACAATTAACGATTTTTTATTCAGCTTGGCGTAGTGTAAAATGATCTTTAATGGTTTTCAATAGTGCTGGCTCTCCTCAGGAGATTAAAACATTTCAAACTGACTACTTCCTTAGTACTTACATTACATTTTTTAAATTCCCTCATCTTACTTTACCAGGTTAAGGAAAATGGTCTGTTAGTGAGCTTAGGTTAGCAGCAGCTTAGCTTGTAGCTCTGAAGCCTTATCAATGAGTAATCAAGAAAAATCTGATTTTTAACTCAAAACTGCTAAATCCAGTGTTTTTACTGGTTTTGATAGCATGTTTTATGTTTTTTTTTGTAAAGGAGAAGACTCTTGTGGATAATTCTGACTCAGGTAAAAAACGTTTTATTTTTTGAACAGTGAAGGAATCCTAACCTTTAAACAAGCTAAACATCATGCTTGCAGCAGGTGGGCAGGAAGCCCCTCCTGACGTCCTACGACTGCAAAAAGACAATGGTGAAACTCTGGTTCTTCAAACTCACCAGCTTGTTCACTGTTTCTACTGGTTTTAATTAATTGTTCTTTTAGTTTTGAAGAGGAAGATGGCTCAGTGGAAAAACCAGCTCACAGTTCAAATCTTTAGGAATGATGACACTGCAGGGTCATTATGAGACCGATTTTGTAAAGTTTACAGCCGTTTCTGCTCAAGTTCCTGCATTACTCATTGAACAATGACGCAGCTGAATAGAGGAAATGCAGTTATTTGTTGTTTATTCAAAGAAAATCTGATTTGATTTAAATTGGTTGACTTTAAGGGTAGGAGCCCTTACATGAACTTTGCTCAGTATCTTTAAAAGAAGGAAAAAAAACCTCTACATCACACCACAGCCAAATGACCAACTTGAATGAATCTGGTTGATACTGACCTAGGACTGATTTGCCGTTCATCTCCTGTACCGAAACAAAAAACACAGTTGCATAAGTGTGACGTGTCCTCACTATGTTGTATGTTTTTCAGACAAACATAAATGTGTTCCAAAAAGCTAAAGACATTAGAAAGCTCCTCAAGGTCTTGTGTTAGGGCTTAGTTCATCTCTTGTTTGCACCTAAACAGCTCATTTAAGTCAGTCTTATCAAATAATTACAAAACACATCCTTATTCTTCTTCTGTGGTGCAGAACTTGAGCTTTTTGACAATAACAAAAGTTAAAAAAAAAAAATTCAACTGTTACCTGAAAATCTTGAGGATCAACGCCTTGGGCGAGGCGGATGTTTCTTAGAAGATCCCTTACTGGCATTTTAACACGGACTCCCAGGTAGACCTTTTCACCATCATAAATAGAACATCTGGAACCTGTGGAGGAACAAAGGACCATGAGCCTTTATGGCAGAATTCAGATTCACAATCACACAACTCTCTGTGTCCCAGAAGGGCTATTAACATCCCACCAAGTTAGAATAATACAAAGAGGACAAATTTGGAGACTAATAGCGATTTCTAGGATTTGTGTTGCTAGAGCTTATGATAGCTGGCGTCAATATGGCATTAAATAAATAAAAACCTTAATCTGCACTGCAGGAGCAACATACATTTTATGATGAAAATTAATTATTATTTGTTGAGAGTAGGAGGCTACTGTAGCATACTTAGTCATATCAAATAGAGCTGGGTATTGTTCACAACATCACAATTCAATTCCATTTCAATTCTTAGGGTCACGATCCATGTCGATTCGATATTGATCAATATGCTTCGATATCGATTTAATAACACGTAGGATGACAGAAATACCCAGATAACTCATCACAGTAACCTCTGATATTTGTTAAATAATTATGTGTGCATTGTTTGTGTAGGTTTACAACAAACTGACTCAAAAATGTATTTTATCGTTGCATTATTTTTTAATAAACAAATAATAAATTCACAGCACCCACAGTGCCCCCAGTGGAGAAGGGCATCATTACAACGAAGGAAAAAAAAAACGATCTCATTATTTCCCTGAATGATATTGAATTGGGAAAACAACAATTGCAATGCATTGATTAATCAATATTTTTAACCAACCCTACTATCAAGTTTTATGAGGTAGCCTTATTTTCATTCATTTTTGTCATACAACTAGGCTATCTCCTTACATTAAAAACATATATTCAGTTTTTAAGGAACATCTAACTTACAAATACAACAGCTTTTTAACATATTACAACTTCTTAAAGACTTTTTTCAACTTCTCCAGTTTGATAATTAGTGGCGCTGTTGAGTTTTTAATAATTCCGTTGACGTTACGCTTGAGGCGTTTATGTCACCTTAATATTATCTGAATTTAGAGATGACAACGTTATTAACACTGTACTCACCACATTTTATAAACGCTATATAGGCCTAAGTAGGCTATATATTTTTTACCTAACCATTTTAAAATGCAGTTTTACCTTTTAGCCTTAAAATTGAGTTTTATTAACTAAGCATATCTTTAACTTTAGTTTACTTTAGCTAGTACATTAGCTTTATCCTGCGTTTTGTACGTCATTAAAGTTGCACTCTTCCTCTCCTTAGAGGCTTGTTAAAAACTTCTTCACTTACTGGCAATGCGTTTGAACAGCATTTTCTTAAGGAATAAACAAGCTAACACTGCCTCGGTAAAGTCGTTATCAGAACAAGTCGTCCTACCTTGTTTACTACCGCCTTCATCCTGGAGAGTTGAACCCGGAACAGGTGTGTGTGTCTCGGCGAAGCCTGGCGCGGTTTCACCCGGCAGAGGTGAGAGCCCAGCAGCCCCGAGGTCTGTTGTTTCTTCTCCTCTTTCCCTCTGGTCTCTTCGTCTGAACCGTCCTCTCATTGTATACACCGAAAGTAACTGTGAAAGACAACGTGTTAAAATGATTTAAAGAGAGTTTAGCCCTCCAATATGAAAGTGAAAAACGAAATAATACTGACCTAATGTCTACAGCTGGGTGTGAACTAGTCTGCCTTCAGCACCTGTCTGGTTCTCCAGGTGATCACTGACAGCTCTGTCTGTGTGTTATATTATATTTGAGTAATGTGACACTGACTGTACCAAAGATGAGCACGTCCACGCCTTTTGCTCCAGGTGTTTTCAGTCAACGCCCACACTGAAGAACAAGACAGTCATGCAGAAGTATGCAGTGTTTGTGAACGCTTCAGTTCCTATTATATGATCCATCTTCAGTACCTTGAAGACATACCCTGTGCCAAAGTGTGGCTCGAAGCCACATTTTGTATTGCCCCCCTCCCACCGGCCGGCACAAGACACAAAACATTGATAATTTGCCCCCTACATAGTTATCAATTAACAATACAAGCTATTTCAATACAGCCTATAGCTTATGTATACATTTTATGAAATCTCCTGAAATAAATAAATAAACACATTCATATTATTTACAGTTATTTCATAAATAGATTTGTTTTACGTCCTGATGCAGCTGGCAAAGTATAGCCTAATATTTTGGATTGCCATGTTCCAAATAATTTGCTAAAATGTATAACAATGTATTTAGTATTTTATGTTTTTAAATATTAACTCCACTTAGACTTCAAAATCTACTTTGTTTTTGTTTTACCCCCCCCCCCAAAAAAAAAAAAAATAGTGGTCACCTTGCTCTATTTCTCTCTCTGTCCCCACACATATCTCCTCTTACACAAACCACCCTGCATCACCTCTATCTCTTTTTCTTCCACACTGTGAAGGCCTTTAGAGTGAATGTTCTGATATACTATAGACCTAAGCAGTTTGTTTCATTAAATGCCCTTTACAACACGACTAGAGTTTTAATTTGTTTTCACCGCGACATGTTAGAGGTTTATCAAAACTATCAAAACCAACTTGGCGACTTTACAGAATAACCACGGACAAATGCATTATGCAGAATGGCATAAGCTGCGATTCAACTGGACCTGTCCAAAAAGCATCTTATTTACAGGAGGGAAATAAAAGGAGCACTTTCCTGTGGGTGGCTGTGGTACAGCGGGGTGTCTTTCAACCAGCTCTAGCACTCCTGCAGCCACATGTCTGATGTGTCCTTGGGCAAGACGTTTAACCACAAGTTGCTCCCGCTGCTTCGTTGGCGGCATATGAATGTGTATGAATGGGATTAGTTAATACTGAGTACCACTAAACATAGCAGCCTCTACCATCAGTGTGTGAATGTGTGTGTGAATACTGTAGGTGTGACCTGTGGTGTAAAAGTGCTTTGAGAAGTCAGAAGACTAGAAAAGTCCTTTTACCATTGACCATTTCAGCAGCGTGCGTCTGTCACAGTGAACAGAGGGATTTAGAATAGATTGATCATGACGTCTCTCTGAAAAAAACTGATCAAGTAGGATGAATATAGCCTTGTTGACCATTTATAGCCTACCTGGTGACACACAGGTAAAGTTTATGCCCATTATCACCTTAGGAATGCTTCTCATGTTGCAGACGCAGCGCTTGTTCTGCGTGTAGAGAGGAGCCGACACGCGGTGGTATGCCCCAATTTCAGTTAATTGGACCTTCCTCAGGTTGACCTAATATGCCAAATAGGCTGTTTATGCCACAAGTAGGGCACTTCAATCAGTCATTTAGCTGACATGAACTTTTTCTCTCCTCTAAATTGTATTTAGAAAGTACAGTTTCAATAAGCCTAGAGAGAACAGGGTGAAGATGCTAGCGGATAAACATAATACAATTACAAATCCAGAGAATATGCAGATTTAAATAAATATATTAAAGGAGGGACATACTGTAGAGTAGCATCATAATAGCCCTTTTGTTTTGGAAGGAAATAGTGGTTTTAATGTGTTTGGTTTCATACAAAGAAATGAGGGTTTAGGGTTATTACATTTTGATTTATAGGCTTTGACATTTTGCTGAGAAAACAACAAGATTAATACTATACTGTTCTTTGATATTACGCATATTAACGCATTCTAGACATTTAAATTAAAATCAGGATCAATATTATCAAACATGATTCTGCTGCAGTCCTTCCAAAGCTTTTTGGTATGGTCACAGAGCCTGGTTATGAAAAAGTGGTACTGAGATGACATCACAGTTTACACTGAGGTCATTTTTAGATTTAACAAGATAATGACTTGCTGGATAGTATCTGTGAAGGACTCTAAAGGATACTTCTCTTACTTTGTTTTTTCAAAATATACTTGTAGGGTGGAGTCCATGTGTTCTCCATCTTAGGTCTTTTACAAGGTTGGTAACTAACAGCATCACTTTGCTTGTGTAATAACTCACAGTTTGTGGATGAAACTAGACAGAATTTATCAGTTGCATGCATTTCAACCAAAACAGTTTGAGCGATTAGTCTTGAAGCCTGGTTTTCGATATTTCGACGGAGACTTGTGGGTTGGAAGTTTTATCTGAGTAACACCAAGTGGCAATCAAAAAAGTGAGTTATGTAAGGCCTAAAGCCAGTTTTCAGTGTCATAATGATAATAACAATAATAACATTTATTTATGAAGCACTTATCAAAACCAACGTCACAAAGTGCTTTACAGAAAAAAGAAAAATCCCAACAGTCGAATACACGACAATAAAATCCTATTAAAAAAGCATGAAAAATAAAACAACAGTGTAGCAATCATCCAATGAACAAAGAAAAGAGAAACAACGGAGACAAAGATTGGCTAAAGTTTACAGTAAAACAAATAAAACATCATGGATGAAACTAGGATTATAAGAAGGCCTTATGATAAAAATGTGTTTTTAAAAGTGATTTAAAAGAAGATATTCATGAGGCTGACTCTCTCATAACCTGGTCAAATAGCTATGCTTAACTTGCACCTCCTTTTTGTTACACAGGCCATAGAAAAGAGCTTTGCAGTTACAGCACAAACTTTCTCTGTTGGTACTTGTCATTCAGTTAACGTTGCAGGATCTCTGAAGTAATGTGATGTTCTCACACATTGGCTCTGCATGTGCTTTGATGTACCCAAACCTGTAGCCTGCTATAAGGAGAAACAGGTGATTAGGCATCACATCCCTGTGTTTAAGACTCAAAAGGGAGAACAGTGCAAATGACAAAGTCCAGCATGTATTTCCCCCGAGGCTGCAACAAGCACTCTACTTACCAGAGAAGAAAAGTGAAGAGCAACAACACTCAGATTAAAGGTACGAGACAAGAAGAGTGCCTTCATAGTCATGGCCCCTGAGATGTGAAGGGGTGTTAGATTGTTGTATCAACCCCAGCAGATATTTTAGATTATCCAGTCTCACAGATCAGGCAACTGTCAGCTAGCAGAAAACAATGCTAATAGATTCCCCCGTGATATGGTTGATTTTTCTCATGAGGAGCTTGTTGAGACCTAGAGTATTGAGCCAGTGTCCGCCCCTTCTTCTAGTTGCTTGAGAGGCCTGGGATGTGCCTGTTTTTTAGCGTAGTCAAGAAGCAGAGGATTTTCTGGCACAACTTCACCAACTACCAAGGTGCATGAAGAGTGAAAGGCTTGAAGAGGTCAAAAAGCTCAAACAAAACTGTGTGTGTGTGTGTGTGTGTGTGTGTGTGTGTGTGTGTCATTGCTTTTTTTGGTTATGGAGTTGTCTGAAAATGGACTTAGGAGCTTATTGATTGAAACACACTTAAACAGATAAGTTTCTGAAGGATGTCTGAGGAAAGACACCTTATCCATCAGGCTCCGATTTGATGATGCCTTTTATCATCAGACATCTCCATCTATCCACAACCTGTCAGGGGTATGTTAACATAGGAACTGTTGATTTTAGGAGGAACGGATAGGCCATCACCTTTATGTAATACAAAGCTTCACTGGCATCTCGCCAAAGTGAGAGGGATAGGTCATTTCACATGTCATGTATTCATGATTGAACAGTGACAGAGAAGTCTTTAAGACAGCTGGTTGGAGTGAAGGCAGAAGAGGAAGTTCTTCCCTACATTAAAACACTTTTATTTGACTCTTTGGTGGCAGCAGAAACAAGTTTAAAAACAACATCAACGTTTCATTTTTGAAGAAGTAGTGGTGAACAAATGTAAGTTTCTTCAGCACTGTATTCATTCCCCATCAATCCTTGAGCAGCATTCCTACTTAACGCTGTGGCCTAACGTAAAAACACTAAACTATTCAAGCACCTACTGAACCTTTAAAAAAACCTCTGATCAATACGTTAATACCAGCAATAAGTATCGCAAAATACCTTTAATGTCTTTAGCCAAAAATATTCTGCATATTTGAGCCCAACGCAATGTAATGTTATAAAACAATCTGTCAGGCCACAAAACAAGTGAAAAGGTGGTCTGAAAAATGAAAAAGTATGAATTGATTTATTAGCCATGACCTTTAGTGGACCACCTGCAGTTCCTTCAAGGCACACCAGAGGGCCCCGGCACCCACACTTTTTCTTTCACACTCACTGCCTTGGGGGGAAATAACCTCCACTGTTGCTCCTAAATGCTCTCAACTAACTTGTTGCTATCATAGGTTGCATAAAAAGAAGGAACATCCAGTTAAGAGAGTCAAGTCACTGCAGAAGTTCGTTAAAGCTGCATCCTTTTTACAATCGCCCGCAGGGGACGTCTACTCTCCTTAAAAAAGAAGTTTGTTAGTACGTATAATATGAGAAAATTACAGAAAAATACATTGTTTAATACAACTTGTCAATGTCAAATCAGGAACAAAATGTTTCTTAAGCCTCCATAATTATTTGAACTCTGGACTTTTTAAAAATATTTTAAATTCTAGAGCCTTTGTTTGTATTTTTAATTAACGTGTTGATAATATTCATAACCGTTCAAATCTGTAACACTGAAATGTTGCGTGGTGCTCTAGCTTCTGCGGTCTTTATTTATAGATTATATAAACAGGATTATGCGAACAAGGATGTTCTTAGAGAGGTCTGTTTTTATTTGTTTAAGATGATGCTCACACACCCTTATGTACTATGGAGGCATTAGTGGTTGCTCTAGTTGTTTGTCCTGTTCACAAGAGCTGCAGAGAGATCACTTATTAAAAAGGATTAAATGTGCTTCTTTGTTTGTTGAGTAGACAAAAC